GATGGCACAAGGGGTGGCTGAAATTCCTAAGGAGGAGCAATTCTTGTGTCATATTTAGGGCGCTACGAAATTCACGGTCATTGGATTTTAAAAATAATAAATTTCATGATTTCACTTATTTGAATCTGAAATTTCACAGTGTTGTAATTGTAGGAGTCCCGCCCCAAAAAGGAGTTGTGTGGAAGGAGGGTTTGCAAGGTTATTGTGGAGCGGGTTGCGATACTGCTACCCTTACTTCTGCCCTGCGGCTGGCAGTGGTGCTGCCTTCAGAGCTGGGCAGTAGGAGAGCGGCGGCTGTTGGCCAGGATCCCAGCTGTGAAGACGGCGCCGCTGCCACACGTGGGGAGGGAGATTTGTGAGTCCTGAGCACAGAAATGACGTGTGAGGCAATGGGGGCGGGTCGCACACACAGGGAATGTGGTGGGGGGGAGGGAAGAGGCAGGGACGAGGCCGGAGTCCTGTGGAGTCCCACAGAGACAGGGAGTGGGGAGGAGGCATCGCTGAAGGAGCAGAGAGAAATGGGAGGAGAACTGGTCCCCTGTGTCTACACTAATGTTCCTCATGAAATCTCCTGCTGTTACACCCCACTGGTGCTAGCAGTAATGGGAGCCCTAGTGTAGACAGTGTTTTACCCCCATGTCACCTCAGCCTGCTCAGAGCAGGGGGCAGGGCCCTGCTGGGCAGGGCTGCCCAGACGGAGGGGCAAGTGGGGCAATTTGCCCCAGGCCCCGCAGGGGCCCCCATGAGAGTTTTCAGGGGCCCCCATGAGAGTTTTCGGCGGCAGGTCCTTCAGTGCCGCCAAACACACCCGGATCGAGTGAAGGACCCGCTGCCGAATTCCTGGAGCTCCTTCCACTCCGGGTCTTCGGCGGCAATTTGGCGGCGGGGGTCCTTCACTCGCTCCGGGACCCGCCGCCGAAGTGCCCTGAAGACCCGGAGCAGAAGGACCCCCGCCGCCAAAGACCCCAGGCCCCCGAATCCTCTGGGCAGCCCTGCTGCTGAGGGGTTATGGAAGGTGCTAGTGTCAGGCCAGGCTCTAGAGGACGGGGGTCAGGGAGGAGGGGGAGCTTTGGGACACAGCCACCAACACTCCTGCTTTGGCTAGGACAGCCCCGGCCTTCCATGCAGCGGGACACTGACTCTGCAGCCAGCAGATGAACTTTTCTATTGAGGTTCTTATGCCGCACCCATCACTGAGGTACCTGAGCACCGAGACTGGCCCACGGGGAACTAGACACGGCCACGGGCCTGTGGCTTGCTGGGCTGCAGGGGCCAGGAGGAGCAGGGGTCATGGAGACACTAATGAACTTCTGGAGAGGACCAGGGAAGCTGCAAAGCAGCTGGGATGGGGCCAGGGAGCAGGTTCTAGGGAGGAGGGATTTTGATTATAATCTATTATCTGATATACCCGGTGTCTGGAGACTTCATCCAGCCCTGGCAACTGGAATAGACTAAGGGATCTGATAGATCTTTCCTAAGTGTCCTCTAACTTCCAGGCCATTCAGGGTGTTGTCCAGCTGGTGGGGTAACACAGGGGAACTGCGTTAGGGGAGACGTGTCTCTGTACCCCAGGAGCACGTGGCCGTCTGCTCCCAGTTTGACCCCGGCAGTGGTGGGTCTGTAACACAGGGATCTATGAGGCAGGAAAAGCTGCTCCTTGTAAAGAGACTGAGTGGAAAGCATAGGAGTAGCTGACATCTCCCCCAGGGAGAGTGAATGGTCAGTGCATGGAGCAGCGCCCCCTGCTGACAGGAAGTTGCTTAAATTCCAAAGAAGGAGCAATCAGTGTGTGATGTATTGAAGGGAGGAAGCAAATTGTGCAGCCAGTGCAGAGCCCAGCTGGAGGAGATGACGTGGGGAAGACGGGAGGTTTTTGTCTCAGTTCCCCATCTGGCTGGATCACTGTGATTCGCACTACCAGTTGTTACAGCACAGTAATAGTCAGCCTCATCCTCTGCCTGGACACCGGTGATGGTCAGGGCAGCCTTGTTACCGGATATGGACCCAGAGAACCGGGCAGGGATTCCGGAGGGTCTGGAATTGGTGCTGTATATAAGCAGCTGAGGAGCAGAGCCTGGTTTCTGCTGGTACCAGGCTGGATAGTTGCTGGTGGTGATGGCTCCAGTGCTCAGGCTGCAGGACAGAGTGACAGCCCCTCCTGAGGTCACCGACATCGAGGGCTCCTGAGTCACCACGGGCTGCGAACTGACCCCTGAAATCAACATTACAAACACACTCAGCACAAGGACTCCGGATCCTCACAGACAAACCTCCTCACCTGCAAGTGTCCTTCACATTTTTGTCACTATAGCAAACAATTCCCTCACCTGAGCAGTAAGTGAGCAGTGTGAGGAGCAGAGGGGCCCAGGCCATGATGGGGAATCCAGAAGAGCTCGGCTTCCTGAGGCAAACGGGTCTGTGGCTGGGACCCTCCGATTCCCTCTTAAACCCCCAGTGCTGTAGAACGGCCCCTTCATGCAAATCCACTCCCTATACATTGGCTGCAGGTTTTAAAAAAAATCTTAATCTTCAGTTTTAACAACAAAGACACTCACATTTCAAATATAACTTCCAGATTAGGCTTTATTTTAAATAAGATTTGTTATTTTTTTAAAAAGTACCTCCCTATAATTATTATTTCAAGTTCAAATTGAAACAGTTTTGCTAGTATAATTTATTATAAGGGGTCCTTACTTTAACCTACTCCTTAAATAATATTTAACACAACCAGATGGTGCCATCACACAGACTGACCAGTTCTCTCTAACTGCCTGCGCGGGGAACTAGTACTCGGAGAAATGTTTATTGTTAGTTATGGGGAATCACAGTTTTACAAGCTGCGCATGTAGCAGAGTAAATCTGATCACTACTTAGTC